CGGTTTATATTGAACTCCCACTGGGGTTTGTAACAGGGGTAACTGCAATGTATTTCCCTCTTTGCGGGGCCTCAGATTATACTGCACAGTTTTCTGTGACAGCTCTGGTCTGGGCTCCGCCTCCTCTTCCCCTGCGCTTCCTTCCTGATCAGTCTCCTCTCATTTGCCTGTCTTTATTGCCTTTTTACAGAAATCCTCTGCAGCATTTAAAAAACTCAGCATTTCTTCCTCATAGTCATTAATTTCCTGTTGTTTCTTTCTTAATTCCTGGAATTTTTTGTCACTTTCTTTTTGATTATGCCACCTCTTCTTTTGGTCCAGAAAAGGGTCCGCTACACATGGCCTGCAGATACAGTCAGGGGGATGTGGGATAAGTTTGATTCCTTTATTTTCCTTTTCTACCTCGAACCTAGAGTGCTGTGGTCCGGCCCCTGTTCTTCCCTGATACCCTGTCTCCTGAACGCCAAACATTCCTGTCATTTCTCCTTTTATTTCTACCACTGGTAGTTGGAACTGTGGTGGATCTACATACGGTGGGGGAATTTCAGGATACAGTGAAGGTGCTGAAGGACTTAAGTTGTTCTTTCTGTCCCTATTTTCTAGGGTTGTGTCTTTCCCGTGCTTCTTCTTTGCTATTTTAAGATTAGTCAAAACCGTAATACCTGCCATTGTCATGTTATGTAATAAGGCACTGTGATCAGCAGCAGTCTGCATCTCAGTCTTTCTCTTCCTCTTTACCAGCCAGCCCTTGTCATGCTCTGATGTCAGACACTTCTGTCTCTCCTCGCTCTCTAAGTTGCTCAGCAACTGCACCAACTTCCCTTTTCTGTCGTCTGCTGGGATTCTACCGTCTTTCTGCAACTTCCTGAAAAGTGTCTCATATTCTCCTATTCTTTTCTGCTTCTCTGATCCTTTCATACCACTTTCAAGTTGTGTTTTAATTTCATTCCACCATTCTCCAATACTTTCTTCCTCCTGTAACTCATTTCTACCCACTTCTTTGTCAAATTCTCCCTCCATTACTCCACACTACAAGGCCAAAAATACAAGTTCTTTTATTAATATATGTTCCCCTTGACTCGGTGTGTGAATGGTTCTGTCGACCAACTTGACAGACCTACGAGACAAGCTTCTAGACCAAACAATTTTGGTCCGGTCTCGTACTGGGGGTTAATTCCCAGTCTTATCAAGTCTTTTAATTCACACCCAAAAATCAAGCTTCACCCCCCTTGTGTATTGTGTACAGAACAGGAGAGGACAGGACTGTGTGTCCTTGAAATTGTCTGTCTCCTGGAAACCACCCACAATATATGAAAAATAAAAATAGTAAAACACAAAATACACAATTTAAATGTGGCCAGTCTCAGTGAGACCTTTGTGAAGTTACAAATGCTGAGGTTTTGTTATCACCGTTTGGTTGCCCACCTCAACTATCTGTCCTCACGACACCACATCCAAATGAAACCTGTAAAATGAACAATCTTTATTCAGTCAAGAAATTATTATATACATGTAGTTTTTACTGCGCAGATTTCTTGGCTCTTCCTTCAAACTCGAACTGAAGAGGACTCCAACGTTTTTTCCCTGGTACCAGATTTCAACCACAGAACATTATCACCAGATAATTTTGCTTTAGAATCGAACTAAAATGTTCTTTGTAATTGGGAATTTATCCGATATTACATCAGACAATTTGCCCTGCAGACCATTCCAACTACCATGACCTACAATAGTCTGGATATGAAACCTCATGAGTGAAATACATTGCACTGTGTGAACATGTAATTAATATGTTACAATAAAACAACAAAGAGGAGCTACTCTGAAAAGCCCACCTACTATATATTTTAATTTTATTGCTTTTCAAGAATATCAATGACGTATTTAGAAAATCACACCACTTTGTTTTAATATATTCAATATGCAGAACTTCTGTGAAAAAGGTTTTCTGCTTACCTTTCAGTGCCGCCGCAGTGGTTTGATTATTCAGAAGACGTCATGTTTCACTTCTTCATCACGTCGGGGTCACCAAATTGTGGACTAAACCAGTCCTGCGTGTCCTTTTATGAAGAATGCTCAAGGACAAATTTGTCCTTTGAGATATTTATTACAATCAATATTTAAGACAAAATATTCAAGAAAAGCAGTTACAGAGCTCTGGGTTCCGTCTTTCTGAAGCCCTACCAACAACAGCAACACTGTTCAGATCTGCCTTCAGAGCAGAGGAACGCCTATACTCCTGCACCCAGTCTAATTATACAGATTTTAATATATGCAAATGATGGTAGATCTGACGTCCTCCGCGTGTCATTCATCCTCGCTCCTTGGTTGGTCTGTTGACCTCATTCTGACCCCTCATTTGGTGATCTTGTCGCCAGGCAGTTTTTCATCTGTAAAATTCTGAGAACACATCCTGACCTTTGAAGCCAATCCTTGCCACAGCCTGGACCTGTGACACAGCCAGTCGAGAAGTCGGTCGAAGCGTTGTCAAGACTCCATGAGTCATCCCACAATGGCGCAGCCGAGAAAAACAGGGCCAGCTGGATCGAAGACCTCTACCGCCACCCACGACAGGCACCAGGCAGTCACAGCCGGCATCC